ATATAGTCAAAGATTGCAGTGCCACAGCACTAGCAAAAATTTAAATTTGCCGACTGGAATTCTTTCGGATAACCGACTTTCGGATAAACGACACTCTACTGTATANAAAAAAAAAAAAAAAAAAAAAAAAAAAAAAAAAAAAAAAAAAAAAAAAAAAAAAAAAAAAAAAAAAAAAAAAAAAAAAAAAAAAAAAAAAAAAAAAAAAAAAAAAAAAAAAAAAAAAAAAAAAAAAAAAAAAAAAAAAAAAAAAAAAAAAAAAAAAAAAAAAAAAAAAAAAAAAAAAAAAAAAAAAAAAAAAAAAAAAAAAAAAAAAAAAAAAAAAAAAAAAAAAAAAAAAAAAAAAAAAAAAAAAAAAAAAAAAAAAAAAAAAAAAAAAAAAAAAAAAAAAAAAAAAAAAAAAAAAAAAAAAAAAAAAAAAAAAAAAAAAAAAAAAAAAAAAAAAAAAAAAAAAAAAAAAAAAAAAAAAAAAAAAAAAAAAAAAAAAAAAAAAAAAAAAAAAAAAAAAAAAAAAAAAAAAAAAAAAAAAAAAAAAAAAAAAAAAAAAAAAAAAAAAAAAAAAAAAAAAAAAAAAAAAAAAAAAAAAAAAAAAAAAAAAAAAAAAAAAAAAAAAAAAAAAAAAAAAAAAAAAAAAAAAAAAAAAAAAAAAAAAAAAAAAAAAAAAAAAAAAAAAAAAAAAAAAAAAAAAAAAAAAAAAAAAAAAAAAAAAAAAAAAAAAAAAAAAAAAAAAAAAAAAAAAAAAAAAAAAAAAAAAAAAAAAAAAAAAAAAAAAAAAAAAAAAAAAAAAAAAAAAAAAAAAAAAAAAAAAAAAAAAAAAAAAAAAAAAAAAAAAAAAAAAAAAAAAAAAAAAAAAAAAAAAAAAAAAAAAAAAAAAAAAAAAAAAAAAAAAAAAAAAAAAAAAAAAAAAAAAAAAAAAAAAAAAAAAAAAAAAAAAAAAAAAAAAAAAAAAAAAAAAAAAAAAAAAAAAAAAAAAAAAAAAAAAAAAAAAAAAAAAAAAAAAAAAAAAAAAAAAAAAAAAAAAAAAAAAAAAAAAAAAAAAAAAAAAAAAAAAAAAAAAAAAAAAAAAAAAAAAAAAAAAAAAAAAAAAAAAAAAAAAAAAAAAAAAAAAAAAAAAAAAAAAAAAAAAAAAAAAAAAAAAAAAAAAAAAAAAAAAAAAAAAAAAAAAAAAAAAAAAAAAAAAAAAAAAAAAAAAAAAAAAAAAAAAAAAAAAAAAAAAAAAAAAAAAAAAAAAAAAAAAAAAAAAAAAAAAAAAAAAAAAAAAAAAAAAAAAAAAAAAAAAAAAAAAAAAAAAAAAAAAAAAAAAAAAAAAAAAAAAAAAAAAAAAAAAAAAAAAAAAAAAAAAAAAAAAAAAAAAAAAAAAAAAAAAAAAAAAAAAAAAAAAAAAAAAAAAAAAAAAAAAAAAAAAAAAAAAAAAAAAAAAAAAAAAAAAAAAAAAAAAAAAAAAAAAAAAAAAAAAAAAAAAAAAAAAAAAAAAAAAAAAAAAAAAAAAAAAAAAAAAAAAAAAAAAAAAAAAAAAAAAAAAAAAAAAAAAAAAAAAAAAAAAAAAAAAAAAAAAAAAAAAAAAAAAAAAAAAAAAAAAAAAAAAAAAAAAAAAAAAAAAAAAAAAAAAAAAAAAAAAAAAAAAAAAAAAAAAAAAAAAAAAAAAAAAAAAAAAAAAAAAAAAAAAAAAAAAAAAAAAAAAAAAAAAAAAAAAAAAAAAAAAAAAAAAAAAAAAAAAAAAAAAAAAAAAAAAAAAAAAAAAAAAAAAAAAAAAAAAAAAAAAAAAAAAAAAAAAAAAAAAAAAAAAAAAAAAAAAAAAAAAAAAAAAAAAAAAAAAAAAAAAAAAAAAAAAAAAAAAAAAAAAAAAAAAAAAAAAAAAAAAAAAAAAAAAAAAAAAAAAAAAAAAAAAAAAAAAAAAAAAAAAAAAAAAAAAAAAAAAAAAAAAAAAAAAAAAAAAAAAAAAAAAAAAAAAAAAAAAAAAAAAAAAAAAAAAAAAAAAAAAAAAAAAAAAAAAAAAAAAAAAAAAAAAAAAAAAAAAAAAAAAAAAAAAAAAAAAAAAAAAAAAAAAAAAAAAAAAAAAAAAAAAAAAAAAAAAAAAAAAAAAAAAAAAAAAAAAAAAAAAAAAAAAAAAAAAAAAAAAAAAAAAAAAAAAAAAAAAAAAAAAAAAAAAAAAAAAAAAAAAAAAAAAAAAAAAAAAAAAAAAAAAAAAAAAAAAAAAAAAAAAAAAAAAAAAAAAAAAAAAAAAAAAAAAAAAAAAAAAAAAAAAAAAAAAAAAAAAAAAAAAAAAAAAAAAAAAAAAAAAAAAAAAAAAAAAAAAAAAAAAAAAAAAAAAAAAAAAAAAAAAAAAAAAAAAAAAAAAAAAAAAAAAAAAAAAAAAAAAAAAAAAAAAAAAAAAAAAAAAAAAAAAAAAAAAAAAAAAAAAAAAAAAAAAAAAAAAAAAAAAAAAAAAAAAAAAAAAAAAAAAAAAAAAAAAAAAAAAAAAAAAAAAAAAAAAAAAAAAAAAAAAAAAAAAAAAAAAAAAAAAAAAAAAAAAAAAAAAAAAAAAAAAAAAAAAAAAAAAAAAAAAAAAAAAAAAAAAAAAAAAAAAAAAAAAAAAAAAAAAAAAAAAAAAAAAAAAAAAAAAAAAAAAAAAAAAAAAAAAAAAAAAAAAAAAAAAAAAAAAAAAAAAAAAAAAAAAAAAAAAAAAAAAAAAAAAAAAAAAAAAAAAAAAAAAAAAAAAAAAAAAAAAAAAAAAAAAAAAAAAAAAAAAAAAAAAAAAAAAAAAAAAAAAAAAAAAAAAAAAAAAAAAAAAAAAAAAAAAAAAAAAAAAAAAAAAAAAAAAAAAAAAAAAAAAAAAAAAAAAAAAAAAAAAAAAAAAAAAAAAAAAAAAAAAAAAAAAAAAAAAAAAAAAAAAAAAAAAAAAAAAAAAAAAAAAACCACCACCGCCCTGTCATCATACGCCATGGACCCCAATATAACAGCCAACTTAAATAGCACCAGTCTCATAAAAAAGTCATTCAAAATACACCACATCAGGGCCTTGGAAACCCTTGAGATTTATAAAGCAACCAAGTCATGGGTTAGTATAAATTTCAAGGATAGTAACATAATATCTTATGCGTGATGCTATATTTGTGATGAGCATCCACACAAGTAATCATATATTATTCCTTGGAAGATGGTCCACATTATTATTATGGAAGACTTCTGTCTACTTAATTAATTCAAAATATTTGATATTTATTACATACTAGAGAAGATTTAATTTTTTGTATTCTCAGCATTCCATTTTTAGAATGACAATGAACCCGATGAAGATCTTGGTTAAAGATCAAAAACATTAGTTCAGTGACTTTATTCTTTTTGTACCAGAAATTTAAAGGTTTTGGATCTGTTATTGTTATATGTACCGGTATTTATTAGTATATGTTGTTTAATCTACAGCATAAAGGAACATAACATGTAATTTATAATAAAGTATTAAATTTTGTATGTGAGTTATGTTTTGTAATAAATTGTATTCTTTTTGTAATGTAATACAGAGTTTTTGATTATGTTGTTACTTGTAATTAGCCTGTATGTAATGAAACTTCCTGCTGAATAATAAACATAGCCATTTCTCTTTCTCTGGTCTTGAGATGCTTGCCTAAAGAGGGTTGAAAATCTTCCTAATTAAGAAGATTAACAAGATTTGCTTTTATAGCAAGCAGTAACAAAAACATATATTGGTGCCAACATTTAAAGGCAATAACAATTGCTTAGTATTTTATGATATTATAATTCACTGATATAGATTTGCCTGTATCTTTGTTATTGCATTTAGTTTTTATTTGGTAATACATTGTATATTTTACAATTAATTCTAATAATACTTTTGTCTCAAAGTTAGCATAGTTTCACTGCTGGAATCTATTGTCTACTAAAATTTGAAATCACATGTTTAGTTTATGATTGATGATTCAGCAGACAAATCATGAAGCACTTGGACAATTTAGAGAGTTTGTAACTTAATATAGAGCTTTAGAGAGCCGTTCAATTCAATAATTTCCTAATCCAGTGTTAGAGTAAGTTGCTGAATATGAAAAGTAAAGTAACACTTAATTTAGAGATACCAGTTCAAAATCTTGAATTACAAAACTTTTTATTTAAAATAATGTTGATGAATAGGCCACAAAAGCAATTCAAAAGAAGTTTCACTTGTACATTTCCTTACTTATATGATATTTTTTCTCTATCTGAAAAATGTATAAATGGAGTTCAACTGTAGTTTATCATACATGTTTTCTTTCTTGCCATTCTTCTGCCAATTAGATTTCAAAGATAACTAAATAACATTAAAAGTGCTCAGCAAATAAACACATAGAAATAAAAAAACCTTAATTTGTTGCTAAGAAATACATAATTGAAAAACAAACGTTTTCAACATTTTTATTTGTATTTTTAATTTTATTTTGTGTTAATTTTATATGTTCTTCCGTTTCTTTTGTATAGTTTTTAAAAAAATTTTTTGTTCTAAATTTTGATTTAAATATTTGTATTCTATACATGAAACGTATCTGTTCCATTTTCGTTTTTGACCTGATGATGGCCTGGTAATCAGACTGAAAACGTTTGTTTTTCAATTATATATTTCTCAGCAACACATTAAGGTGTTTTATTTCTATGTGATACTAAATATTTGATATTTTTGTAATTTCTTCATTTTTTCAGATATTTTTATAGATTTTATAGAAAACTTTATAATATTTTAATATTCTAAAAAAATTTTCAATTCATATAATAATACATAATTATAATCAATCAATTGTATTCCTAATGTTATAACTTTAAAAAATAATAAATACCAAATCTAGACATCTTTTAACATATACCAAATCTAATAATATATTCCAGATATATATTATTAGATTATATGGAGTTTTGGTTGTGTGATATTCATAATTATACAGTACATATAGTGCATTTATTACTTTTCAAATTATACACTCTATAGATTAAAAGTAGCCTATTATAATTAACTGAAGATATTAAAGGTTAAAACTTACTTTTGATGTGACATCAGGATCATGATCATTTTGTAGCAGTAGAGCAGCAGCTTTACAATCATCTTTTTTAGCTGCTATATGTAGAGCTGGTAAACGCACTCTTCCTTTAGTATCATTTTCTAATAACACTGCAACTACTTTATCATGGCCTTGTTGAAGAGCAACTGCCAATGGTGTAAACCCATCCTAAATACAATGAAAATAATATAAAATATAATTAACATATGTTGTAATATTTTCACAAATGAATAAGAAAAATTATATCACTTTAAATTTAAATGCACAATAATAGAACACATATAACATTCATGATTGAAATAATTTTTGAACTACGCATGTTTATCTCTTAAACTGAAGTTATAAAATTTGTTAGTTAGTTAAATGACTTCCAACCACTTAACACTGCGTTGAATAATAACAATCCACGAAAAACCTTTTTTTTACGAGTGTTATGTCACTATTAAATTCGATAGTACTTGTGGAATTTAATAGTGACATAACACTCATAAAAAAAAAAATTTTTCGTGGATTGTTATTGTTAGTTAGTTTCTATATTTGACGCCTAATTAAATTTAAAAAAAATATATGCTTGTGTGCAAATTATATACTGTATATTAGAAATTTACTTTCTTAAGTATCTTCAATTCATTTAAATATTAAACATCTTTACTTTTAATTTCATTTTCCAATAACAAAATTCTAATATTATACATTTGATATTCCAAAAACAATGGATGCAAAATATTAATTATATTTACCTCAGTAGCAAGGCTTTGATTAGCTCCATTTGCCAATAAATAACGTACTACTTTATCATGATTCTCTTGAGCTGCCATGTAAAGAGGTGTGAAGCCATTCTGAGATTGCACATTGACATTTGCTCCATTACGTACAAGTATTTTTACTATTTCTTCTTGTCCAGCTAATGACGCAATATGCAATGAAGTATTTCCTTTCTAAATAAAATATTTTTCATAAATATATTAAAATTTTCAAAAATTAAATTAAGACTTTTAAAATGTACCTTCGTTGCTGCATTTACATTTGCACCTCGTTTCAGTAATTCATTAAGCACAGTAACATGGCCTTCTTTAGATGCCAAATGGAGAGCATTTAATCCATTCTAATTGAAATAAATAATATATATATTAAAATATGTTATCTTATATTTTTTTTAATATAAAACTAAAACAAACCTTTAATACATAAAATAAATATTGTTGATGCTAATCAATAAAAAATATGTTAATTTTCATACATTCTTTCAATTAGTAAAAATAAAAAATAAAAATAACATTCAAAGTTAGCTTATCCATGTTCTAATTTATTGTCGATAAATACACTTTTCTGAATTCATAAAGAAATACACTCAAATTTTTAAAAAATTTATGTTTTTCAATAATATGTTTTCATTTAGAAAAACTTTATAAACAAGAAGTTTAAAACCATTAAATATGAAACACTGAAACAACAAAAACATTTATTTTTCTATCTTAAGAAATTTTTGACAGTTGTCATCTGTCATAGTTGTAAATACAGCTAAGAATATGAACTGGCAGCACAGAACAAGCCAAGACGGCAACCTTAGCATAGGCATATGTATGCTATGCCTTTATTAAGTATGATTGTTACTTAATAAAGATATTGGTTGAACTGGCTTAGTGTCTCATAACTGATGAATATAATATGGTCCAGTCAACAGAGCTGAAGTGAAAAAAAGGACTGTCAAAAAATAAAACAGGAAAAATGTCCTGTGAGTCAGGTAGGAACAAAATAGATAACAACAATGGGACCTAAAACTGCCAAAATTGATATTGTTCGAAGGGAACATTTCTGAAAATTGGGAGTCATGGAAACAGCATTTTGAACTTTTCATGACTGACATAGGATTGAACAAGAACAATGACAAAGTAAAAGTTGCCACTTTGTTACAAGTGCTTGATGAGGAAGCAATAGAAAATTTAACACATTCACTTTGTCTAAAAATGAACGTAAAGTATATATTACTATTTTAACAATCTTTGAAAATTAGTATACTTAAAACATATGAAAGCGACAAAAGACACATTCTTTTTGCACATATGGAAAGAAAGAGAAATCTTTAATTCTTTCCTCACTGACTTCAAAAACTGACATGAAAATCTTAACACCATTCTTGTATTTCCTGCAAACACATTTATTATAAACAAAAATATTTTTGGTATATTTCATTTGGTATCACANCTTCTTTAGATGCCAAATGGAGAGCATTTAATCCATTCTAATTGAAATAAATAATATATATATTAAAATATGTTATCTTATATTTTTTTTAATATAAAACTAAAACAAACCTTTAATACATAAAATAAATATTGTTGATGCTAATCAATAAAAAATATGTTAATTTTCATACATTCTTTCAATTAGTAAAAATAAAAAAAACATTCAAAGTTAGCTTATCCATGTTCTAATTTATTGTAGACTAGCAGACCCCACCACACGTTGTTGTGGCTCAAAATGTATCTATTATAAATGTATAACACTTCCCCCGTGGGGGGAAATTTTTCGAAAAATTTCTTCTTAGAGTACCTTCTCTTGACGTACCCTATTAAAACGCAATCAAAAATGCAAAAACCCACATCTAAAATAATATAATAGAAGCCAAGTTCTTCACGGTAAGCCTTAATTCTGTCCTCTCCCCCGCGGGGAATATCGAAAAATCCCTTCTTACTGTACATTCTGTTGACGTACCCTATTAAAACGCAATCAAAAACACAAAAAACTGCATCTAAAATAGTATAAATAGAAGCAGAGTTCTTTACGGTAAGCCTTAATCCTAACCATCTCCCTTCAGTGGGGGGAATTTCGACACGTATATTATATAAAAACATGTGTATANATATGTTTTCATTTAGAAAAACTTTATAAACAAGAAGTTTAAAACCATTAAATATGAAACACTGAAACAACAAAAACATTTATTTTTCTATCTTAAGAAATTTTTGACAGTTGTCATCTGTCATAGTTGTAAATACAGCTAAGAATATGAACTGGCAGCACAGAACAGGCCAAGACGGCAACCTTAGCATAGGCATATGTATGCTATGCCTTTATTAAGTATGATTGTTACTTAATAAAGATATTGGTTGAACTGGCTTAGTGTCTCATAACTGATGAATATAATATGGTCCAGTCAACAGAGCTGAAGTGAAAAAAAGGACTGTCAAAAAATAAAACAGGAAAAATGTACTGTAAGTCAGGTAGGAACAAAACAGATAACAACAATGGGAACTAAAACTGCCAAAATTGATATTGTTCGAAGGGAACATTTCTGAAAATTGGAAGGCATGGAAACAGCATTTTGAACTTTTCATGACTGACATAGGATTGAACAAGAACAATGACAAAGTAAAAGTTGCCACTTTGTTACAAGTGCTTGATGAGGAAGCAATAGAAAATTTAACACATTCACTTTGTCTAAAAATGAACGTAAAGTATATATTACTATTTTAACAATCTTTGAAAATTAGTATACTTAAAACATATGAAAGCGACAAAAGACACATTCTTTTTGCACATATGGAAAGAAAGAGAAATCTTTAATTCTTTCCTCACTGACTTCAAAAACTGACATGAAAATCTCAACACCATTCTTGTATTTCCTGCAAACACATTTATTATAAACAAAAATATTTTTGGTATATTTCATTTGGTATCACATTTCCAATTTAGCTCTAATAATGTTTGAAATTGAAATATTACTCGATAAATGACGTTATTCAATTTTTTAACATATAGAACATTCATATTTCTTGTGAGTTTGTAAGGAACCAAGTCTGAGCATTATTTTTATTTACTTATGCTTTTTATTATATTTTTGTTTGGAGCTTATGTTTTGTTAGGACGAAGGTTTCCTCACCATTCACCTTAGAAACTTAAAAATAGAAGAGAAACCAACTCACCAACGAGAGAAAAGCGCCGTAGAAAAAACTCACATACACTTGTGTTCCCGAGCAAAAAAAAGTAAGTCCGCACCGAGAAAAATGGGGGAGAAGAAGACCCCACAAGCACAACAGGAATTTGCTAAACCTTAAAAGAATAAAACATCCCTAAAATCGTAAAAAAGAATAATGTAAAAGGTTAGCGAGTATTGTCGGAAAAATAGGCTGCAAGACAAATAGAAAAAATTTATTGTTAGTGAATAAGTATGTAAATGAGGGGAGTGATCGCAGTCAGAATTGTGACGTCACCTCACAGTATAAAGACTGAACGTCAAGTGAAGATGAACGAGGTGAACTCCAGTTAGCAACAAGCTTGGTGAGCTTCGTAGCAGTGAACGAGAGAGGTGTCCGATAGGATAGAAATAGTTCCAAGGCAATTTTGAAGTTATTCGATTTGTGGATCGACGAATAGAGAGTCTTGAGAGTTGAGGAAATAGGTTCCTAGTATATTGAGGTGACGATTAGGATCTTTAATTCATAAGAATTATTGTATATAAGTTAAGTCTTTGAATTTTGTCGAATTCAAGTTAAAAACTAGATTGATTGAGTTTTGTCGAGTTAGTTCTTATTGATTTTCATTGAATAAATTGTTGTTTGATTTTACTAAACTTTGTATATAGTTTATTACTAAAAATTAATTAAATATTTGATTTGTTATTGACAAACTGTCATTATTTAATTTCGGTGCATGCTAAAAGTCCAGGCCTGGCACACTAACGCGAATCCACGTAAGGTACCCGTTAGGGAACAGCTATTTCTGGCACACAGTCGTGTCGATAATCATTGGAAAAGTCGGAAAAATAATTTAGTACTTTACAAGTTTGTAATTAAAAATTTAACGTTTTTAAATTACGTTTTTATGCACAAGGAATATAGAATGTTCTACAACTTAAAAGTTAAATAGTATTACTTATTGAGTAACATTCAAATTCAAACATTATCAAATTAAAACTAAATTTGAAACCTGATGCAGGGTTATGAAATATGCCAAAAATGTTTGTGTTCTTAATAAATATGTTTGTTGGAAATGCAAGAACAGTGTTGAGATTTTCATAATCATAGTTCCAGTTTTGTTCATCACTTTCAAGAAACTGAGTTGGCCCTGTGGATTTGGTAAATTAACAAATAGTTTAATCAAGGACCAAATAATTAGTGGTTTGTCAAATAAAAATCTAAAAGATAGACTATCTTCACAGAGGAGCCAAACACTAATGCATGTGTCAACATGTACAAGAATGCCAACCTAGCAACTAAACAGTTAAAAAATTTAAAGACAATTGTACCATTTATGATATTACCCACAAAAATATATACTCAAAAGATAAAGAGCAGTCATCAAAGAGACAAAGGGTCAGAAAACAATAAAGTGGAAAGAGAACACAAGGACATATAATATTGTTATAAGTCCATAATACTGAAAACCAAGAGATGAATAAACAAATTATGTAAAAACAAGATAATTGGTCATACAGAGAATGCTCACACTGTGGAGGGCAATATCCTCAACCAAATAATCGCCTTAAGTAATCGGGCTATTAATATGCTATAATTAATAATTAGAAACTATATACAGTAGATCCCCCTATAAAACCGTTTCCTATAGTTATGATTCCTATAAAAATTGTGGTAGTATCCGTAAACAACGGTAAAAATAACTCCTATCTCCTATAATATGTAAAACGTCATCGGGCAGCTGAACTACTTTCCCGCCGTCCGTAGCGCCACGCTACGGACGTTTAGGCGGATAAATTGAGTTTAGTATCGTCTGTTCATATAATTATATATAAATTAGGTACTGTACATATAATTATATATTAATTATATATAAATTAGGTACTGTATATATAATTATATATTAACTTAATTTATTGTAACTTTATTATAATTAAATATATATTTTTCGCCGTCTAGCGTCACGCTACGGCGAGTTAGGCGACCTATCGTCTGTTTAGTACTGTAATTTTATACATTTCTTGTGAAAGAAACATTTCTTATTTAACGGCCATAAAAATTATTTATATTAATGATGTCTCCAAAGGTCAACGAAGTTTTCGCAGAAAAATAATATCAGAAATCGCGGCCGCAATTTGATGCGCTGTTCCGCGACGAAACCAAGCTTTAGCAACGGGCGTAGTCGAAC